TAGGGAAGAGCTGTACGATTTAGTGTACAATGACGATATCGTTTGTCTGATGGAATATGTGGCGGATGCGCAAAGTGCTCTTGACAGACTTTGTGGTTTTCAAACTTTACGTGTGCGCGAGGATGACATCTATCAACTAGAACTTTTTCACTATCGATGCCTACGTAGTTTGGCGGACCCGGAATATTGCGAGCGTGTATGCAACTATGAGTTAAGTCGACGAGTAATTGATTCTATGTTTTGGTGATGAGTTTGTTATCGTATCCAATTCAAAATAGTCGACTTAACTGGTTAAGACAGATTTACTGCGCATGCCCAGCAGTCGTCTACCGCACCATGCCTTATTGGCAGTGGTGGCCCCAGGTCGAGGGAAGTCACGTGATGATCAACGGATTACGTGCCAGCAGATAACTGGAAGACGAGGCATGAAGAGTCGTTGTCTGTCGTCTTCCGGGTTGGAATCCAAAAGACTTCTTAACCGGATGGTTGGAGATATCGATGGTCAGGGCAGCAGTGGCCATCTTGTTGTCACTTTTTGTCCGACGAGAATGCTTGAAATAGTATGTATGCACAGTTGGACTGTATAGTCTGTGTGTTTTGACCGTAGAGGTTCGTTTTCTTTTTCCCGCACCCTAAAAATAGGTCCCATCTCTATCCTCCCCACACACTCTTCTTTGTGTTGTTATGCATCAGGAGTTTGGCAGCGATTAGCGATTTTCACCTCACTGTATTACGCTGTATGATGATGATTACTCTCGGGTGCTTCATGAGCGAGTTGTTTTCGCAATAACCGACAGGGGACTAGGGCATTTAACTTGTTATTCAGTGTTTCAGTTTCATTTTGTACAACCATTAACCATGTGCGCCAGTTTTGGTTACTATCTTTCGGCTGCCCATTTGGATGAACATTAGAAGCAAGACAGGAAAGGTTAAAAGTACGATCGAAGAGAAAATTGAGAAGTTCAGTGGACTAATGATACAGAGAAATTGGGAAGATACAGGAACGCGATGCACAATACCCAGCCATATCACTGTGTCTCTAACCATCGGGTACGACCATCCCGAGGTCCTCATCCAGGGAGCCTAACGGGACCTATGTGACCAAGACTCCTGGTTAGGGTTTTCATGCCCTTATGCCAGGTCTTAGCTTGACCACTCTGGACCTTTTTCCACGCACTGCCTGTCTCGCAAACATCACTTGCCGTGGCAACCTATTTGATGACATGCGTAACACATGCCCCAACCGACGTAATCTATGGATATCGACGACTTGCTCCAGTGGGCGACCGCGGTTACCTAAAACTTTTCGCCTGCAATTTCAACCTCAAAATTGGAATAAAGCAGTCGGTCATATAATGGTTTGCTGATATGATTTGTAGCTGTGTTTATGAAGGCCTGTCTGTCTTTGTCGTCTGGTGTTCGTACACAAGTATACCTTTTTTATTGCTGAACGAATCCTCCGTCGGTCTGCTGTGGTCAGTCAGGTTTTTACTGTGAATGGATTTTATGTTAGTGCTCAATTATGCGGCATTTGCGCGGTCTGGTCAGAATCACCGTCTTTCAAATGCACAACGACAATCGTCTGCGTAATATACGGCTTCTGGCATATAATAATTCATTTACCTGATGTGATCTTATCCGAGATTTGCTTTTATCCGGAGCTTTTATACGCGATGCTCAGTAGATCTGTTGGACGTGAGATGCGGTGAACTTTTGGTTGTCATGATTTTCCAGCGAAACAGTAATCTCTCTTTTCAACACATCGTGACCAAATGATGTTAGGAGTGTATCGAAAAATCGATGCGCCATATGTTGTTTTATTGTGAATGTTATAGTGTTAATAACACAGCGATGTCGGTAGAGAATTGTATTCCTTATTTATTATATTTTATTATTATTTTAAATGTAAAACCTGCTTTGAGGAAGGTTACCCACGGTAACTGAAACGTCGGCGAACATAATTCTCTACCGACATCGCTGTGTTATTAACACTATAACAATCACAATAAAACAGTAATCTTATTTGTGAGGGGGGGAGGGTATGAGAGTACTGGACAATAGTTGCACAAACTGAATTTCGCTGTTTTGATTCGAATCTCAATTGGCATTAGTCATCCTGCACGAATTCCAGGTGTACTTTAGGATCATATTCGACGGGCCCTTTACCGTGGATGCATGGATGAAATGATCACCATTATCACGTCAACATGTAGTGGAATAGCATCACTGATGAATACAATGCCCCTGACAATGTACCCGAAATTTTTTCGCTCTCTCTCTCCCCTCTGTCTGGTTTCGTAGACCCGTTTTGGCGAGAAACACGCTTGTCTGAGATCCACGGTTTCATCATCATTCACTCAGTTCTCGTTCCATTCGCGATCACATTGATATTTTCCCCTCAACTGTTCATCGATTCACCAAAAGATTGGCTGAAGTTTGGCCCATCACGCACCCATGTGTGATTCAGTCCTAACCGAAATCATTTCACCTCGGATTTTCTCACAAAAAGGACAGTATGAGAATTGTGCTTGTTCCCGGTCGAGTGGTTTGCAAACACGTCACGTCTCTTCATATTGCAAACACGCATCGCCTATTGGTCAGGTTATCACACCAGCCGTCAATCATATAACTAGTCCTTGGCTCCTGGGAACTGTGGTCTCGAATCGCACATTGCCTTAAACACACCAAATTAACTGGACATTTTCGTGAAACGTTCTAAAGACTGACTTTCATTCCAGTTTCCTTTCATTGGTTTTCACTTCTAAGTTTCTCAATTACTTCTTTCTGTATTCCAGGAGGAGAAGGCACCCGTTCCACGTCACAGTGTTCCGTCTGATCGTGTTTGCGAATCGCGTAGTGAGCTAGATGGAGTGTACTTCTCGGATACCGAGTCTCGCGGATCTCCTCGTCATGGCGATTCGTTTGAACATGGAGAATTGCCGGAGAGCCTGGCAGACGCGGTTTCTCTAGGTGCGATTTCAATGATGACCGGTATCTCTTGCTACGACGAATTGCCTGATGACGAACGGTCTTCCGATAGTGATGCTGATCGACAGTCTGGTCCAAAATCAGATGCCATTGAGGTCGGGCCCCGAACACGTCTTGCCGGGTGCGCAAGCCTGAAACTGCTGGGGCGGTCTTATTGGGGACCTTCCAGTACTTCTACATCGTCATCCTCACCTGCCGCATCATCAGTTCACCCCGGTGAGGTTAGTTCATCCCACATATCAGACCAACGTCGGAAACGTGTTCGTGGTATTGTCCAACGAACCAAATCGGAACCGTTCAGTATATCCGCAGTTGCTGCTCGCGGACGCAAGCGGATTCAAAAACCGAATACCAAACGGAAACCTGCTCCGTCTGCAGATCACGTCCAATCTAGCGATCAGTTGACCAAACCGTATTCGCCGCTGGAGAAACAGGTGTGTAAGATTTTCGACCGTATTCCTTTTTTCCAATTGCACCTTACGTTGGTTAGGGCATGTGTTACGCATGTCACCAAATAGGTTGATTGCCACGGCACGCGATGTTCGCCTAGGCAATTTGGGGGTTGGAAAAAGGTCAAGGGAGGTCAAACTCAGCCCTGGTATGAGGGCATGAAAACCCTACCCAGGGGACTGGGTCACCTAAATCCAATTAGGCTCCCTGGATAGGGACCTAGAGATCGTGGCAACCTTAATATACTCGGATTCTCAGTTTTCTCTTCTACTCTACTTTCCTATCTTTCTTCTACCTCCTCGTCCAAATTGGCAGTCAAGAGACATCAACTGAAACCGGCGCATGCTGATGAATGCAAAGACTACAACCGAAGACATTAAACCAGTGCTTATTTGTCCTTCTCCATCATGAATCTATGCCTTGATGTTCTCCTAAATTTTTGCCGCCCCAATTACTAGCATAAACTGTTTGTTCTCTTTCCCCGAAATCGATAACGTGTTTACTCCCCTTGTTAATTCAGTTGCTATGGTTACAACCAAGAGCCCCACCTTAACATTGCAATAACTTAAAAGTACCGGGTTGTCGTATGGCTCACTGTGCTCTTCAATACACCAATAGTATTTCTGGACACTTTGGTCTGTATCCCTTTGTTTATCTCCTTTCCCATCCCTGTTCTCGTCACTGGTATGGTACAACACACCTTACCATCGTGAACGTGGAAGTGATAATAAAGAATGATCACAAAGAAAACCTACACTACGGGTGACGAGAAAACGTCAACAATACGGCTTTCAGCATCCCTGTACACGTTCTTTGGCTTTGGGGAATCGTTCTTGTGCTACTGATATCTGAATCGCACCTTGACGTGGTGTGATCGCTTGCGTGCCTCCATGACCTTGCGAGCTACACAGGATGGCTTTTCACAGCCATAGATCCAATCATGCCTGCAAGGTCAACGGGTAGAGACCAGACAAAGTTCAGTCTCACAAAGCCAGTGGTTGTACAAACTGAACTGAACTGAACTTCAGTTCCCATCATATTCATTTCACAACACCTCGTATCTCTCTCTCTCCCCTTCAAACTCCGGTTCCGGTTTGTTACTTCCCTAGTTCCATCTTATGTGAAGAAAGATCAATTCTTTATCGTCCTTACCGGTAGTGTGAATCAAAGGTTGACACGCCCACACTGCTGGTTTCAAATCCTTAGATTAGCCGTTCTTGCCCGAGAGAAACACACACAAGCACACACTGGAAGAAAGCATTTCGCGTTGAGATTGCATTGATAGATAGTTCTGGTCGCTTCCTACTTCATCCCAGGGAATAAAATCGACTGAAACTGACATTTTCCGTTTTTCTGCCTGTCAAACTGGATCCTTTTTTCGTTCGATTCATCTTATTCTTTCCCATGGATAACAAACAATATTGCTTGGACTTTGTACAAAGTACCAAACATTCACACACCGGGTATGCAAACAAAATGATACCTATGATTCTGTCTATCCGTTTCGGGATAGTTGCCAGACCTGGTTTCCATAAAACTTCTCATCGAAGACACGGTATCCATGCTTCGTAATTTGTTTGGTAGCTAATTCATAGGAGTATCACTTTCATCTGATTGTCGGGGACCCTGGAACGGCTACCTAGGAAAACTGGCTGAACATACGGATTGTAAAACAATCAAAATTATACTAGTACACTAAGACCTTTTGGGTTGGGCAATTGTCGGCGGCGCAACGTGGCACTTGTGACGTTCCCCTCCTCCTCCGTCTCAAACCACCGATGTTTTGATCAACTGGAAACTACGGGAACAAGTGAAATTCCATGTACCCAAGGTTTTCAATTCCATGCGAGTTGAATAACCAACACTCATTTTCGTCTACTTGCGTTTCTGGTGTGAATAAATGGGCGAAACTGTTTCCCATTTCACGAACCCGATGACTCACAAAAAATGTGAGAACATTTGAATGTTTTCCAACCTGCTCAGCAAAGCAGTCCCCACCGGACCAGTCCTGCCACGCTCAATAGTACACACCCAACTTTCCATCCTTCTGCACTGTTGTCCAGAAACGAACAAGCGGCAATCGGCCATCGAGTGTTTTCCCCTATCCCATCGTATTGGAGGAAACCACATGGAGGTTGACAAATGACGACGAGACGAGGCATGAAGAAATGCACACAGCCATCTAGCAGAGTAGGATTGTCTCGCCTTCCGAGTTGGGATCCGTAAGACTCCACAACCGGTTGGTTGAAGACGTTGAAGGATATGGCAGCAAACCGACAGCAGGAGTGATCTTGTCATTTCTTATCAGGCCAGAATGCTTGAAACAGTATGTATGCGCAGTTCGATTATACACTCTATATGTTTACCATAGAGGTTCACTTTCTTCTCCCTCCCTCAAAGTAAGTCCAATCGCTGTCCACCTTAATTTTTACCACTAATCTTGTATACATTGCGAGTTTGGCAGCGATCAGTGAAGTTCACTTCACTGTATTTCGCTGTACGATTATTTTGATGATGATGATGATCGTATGGCATCTCGTTCACAGTTGAAGAGATGCCCGGGGGTATTTGGGTTTATCTACCTGTCTTTCAACAATTCGAAATTCCAAGTTGTCTCAAGGAGAAAGCCGCCATGTTATCACATTGTGTAGAGTGACCCATTTCGTGGAATCCCACTTTTAATGGTTCCTGTAGCACCCTCCGTTTTTTCCGGTTCACCTATTAACCATCGCGTGTGACCTAATCGTTCATGGCAACGAAGACTATTAAGGGATCTGCTTTGTTCATCCACGTCCGATGCCAATGTGGGTCGTCTCAAGTGACCTGATTCATTCGCGCTGCGGATCCGCACAACTTTGCCCCCAAACTGTAAGTAGCTTGTTAGTCATAGTTCGCTCCATCTCATTTGTCTTCCTCGTTCCCCGTATAACTCCTCAGTGTGTGTGTGTGTCTGTGTGTGTGTGTGTGTGTGCGTGCGTGTGTGACTGTCCGATCATTACACAGACATGCTTTCGCCTCAAATGTCCAGTTCACTTGCAGATTGATTATTAAGTGGAGGATCGATTGTCGGACGGCGGAGAGGGAGACTGGCGAGGGACAAAATGTCCTGGTTATCTCTCTTTCTCTCTCTCTCTCTGGTCTCATTAAGATAGATACGAAACTTTCTTCGGCGACTGTATAGAGTACCAGTCGGCCTTGACCTAATCGCGATTAGTTTCGCTAGAACTGGGCTTTTCCGGGTAGCAGAACGAGTGACAAACACAATTATACAACAACTGTATCTGTGTCCTCGTTTGTAGGTTACCACTATTACCTAGTTGCACGCGTCTGTCGTCAGTCAACTAACTCGGTTGTTTGATTGTTCCCATGTGTGCACGCAAATTAACGTTCATCGCTTTTCCTCTCCAACCTGTGTTGTTCTTGTTTTGTTTT